CCAAAAAAAAAAAAAAAAAAAAAGGAACTTACCACATGCAAGTTACCTCTTGAGAGGGCCCAGCATGACTCCAGAAGCCCCTCACTGCTCTCGGAAGGCCTCACTCTGGCCTTTACCATTCCACATGATCTGACCCCACCAACCTTTCCAGTCCCATCTTATTTTGGGTCCTGCTCTGGCTCTGCACCCCAGTCACACTCCCTCAGGGCACTGGACTCTTGCACATGCCTTTTCCTCTGTCTGGAACATTCTCTTCCTCAGTTAGCACCTATCACCCTTCAGGTCTAAGCTCAAGCCCTACTTCCTCAGGGGACCTTTTCTGACCCCCAAGCCACCACACCAAGCTGTTTTGGGGGGGTTTTTTGTTTTGTTTTGTTTTGTTTTCTGTTGCAGAGATGAGTTCTCTCCAAGTTGCTCAGTCTGGTCTCAAACCCTTGAACTCAGGCAATCCTCTCACCTCAGCTTCCCAAAGTGCTGAACTTATAGATGTGAGCCACTATGCCTGGCCTGCTGTTTTTCATTTATTTGTATCAATGTTTGTTCAATGTTCACCTCCCTCCTTAGGTAGGGTTCATCTGGTTTTGCTCACCACTAATCTTCATTGCTCAGCAAAGCCCTTGACTTATAACAAGAGCTCAACAGTGATGACAGCCTGAGTAAAAAAACATTTTGTATGACTCCACATTATGTAAATGGTAAAACATAGATGCTAAGTACTTTGTCAGCCTTGGTGACACAGCAAGATCCTATCTCTAATAATACTATTTGTCCAAGCTCCGAGATAGAAAATGGCAGATCTGAGATTTGAAGCCAGGTCCACTTCTACTAGGCAATACGACCCTCCATGAAACACCTGAAAAACAGCCAGGTTCATTTTTGTCTCCCATAAGAACAGAACCTACTGCAGGGTCAGGTGGCAGCACAGAGCTTACTTCTCCTGTCACCACATCCGTGGGCCTCGGAGCTGAAACTTGTTCTTTGTCCATGTAGAACTTGGGCAAGGGAGACCATGAAAGGAACCTGGGCTGGGGGTCTTGTCACCACTCCTGTCTGGGTCTTGGGTTCTCCCCTCTGAGTGATGGAACCCTTTATCTGGAAGGACTTTCAGACTGGGAGTGGCAGGCTAGGGATTGGTGAGGCATACCGGGGATACTCGAAGGTTCTCTTCCACAAGGGCCTCCTGCAGCACCAAATGCCCTACATTCTGTAGTTGCTGCAGTGAGATCGCCAGAGTCCCAAGAAGCCTAGGGAGTGGCACAGAGCAAAAGAGTGACCCAGGGGAGTGGCACCAGGTCACCCCACTGGCATCTCTGTTCCATCAGGCCTACTCACCTAGAGCCGAACACATGGCTGCAGTTGACCGCTTGCACAGACAGACACTCGTCATCCAGTGAAGCCCCATAGTGGGGCCAAGGGAACAGCTGGGGATAGGAGGAAGCTTGTGACACCCCATGCTGGGCTGACCCTGACCCCCAATCCAGAGCCTCTTCCCAGCCCTGAGACTGGCACCTAACTCCGGGACTAACCTCCCAAACCTGGGACTGATCTCCCAACCATGGAGTTAACAGCAAACTAGGGCTGATCTGGGGTTAACTATAATTCAAGAACAAATCCCCCCAGTCTTGGGACTACCTGTTCCAAATTGGGTCTGACCTTTCAAGCCTGAGACTGAACCTACCTTCCAAGACGACAACTCCGAAAATTCAAGAATGAGCCCCTAACTCCAGGATGGAATTGGCTGGGAGACAGACCAGCTTCTCCCCGTCCAGGAACCAGCTGTACTGACCTCGCCGATATCTGCTTCTTGACCACAGTGAATTTTTCTTGTTTCTGTGTGAAGCCTGCTTCGAACTGAAACTCATTATCAGCCCTTCCACACACACACAAAGAAAGGTAGAAGGTGCGAGGGAAGGAGGCAGGGTTGGAGATATCAGGCTGAGGAGACAGGAGACAGGCTGGAAGATGGCGAGGGATTGGATTGAGGGTAGAGGAAATGAAGTGTACCCAGAGTCTCCCAAAATCTGTAGAGCACCTTGCAGGCCTCACCCCGAAAGCTGAGCTTCACTTGTCGGTTGTGGGTGCCCGGTAAGCCTGTTAGTCGCTGCACACACACAGTCAGAGCCATGGTCTCAGTGCCACTGGCACTTCCTCTGCCTGCCTGCCCTCCTGTCCACTGCCCGCCCACCTGAATCGCCTCTGACACACTGGACTCACCCAGCAGGTTCAGCAATCCCTGGCCTTTAGTCTGGCACACAGGCAGCTGGCCTAGGGGTCATGATGGGCAGAGAGTGGAGGACTGAGAGATGAGGGTAAGGTCCCTGTGGTGGGTGCAGTTCTCCCGTCTTCGCTAGCTGAAAGCTGGAGGGACTGCTTTAGCCGCCTTCCTGCATCTTCATGGGGTGGGAACTGGGATAGGGTAGGAAGAAGCAAGGGAGAGAGGACAGGACCTCTGTCTTTTTTTTTCTTTTGAGTCGGAGTCTCACTCTGTCGCCCAGACTGGAGTGCAGTGGCCGCTCCCGGCCACCGCAACCTCGACCTGCTGGGCTCCGGCGATCCTTCCTCCTCAGCCTTCCGAGTAGCCAGAATTACAGGCACGCGCTACCACGCCCGGCTGATTTTTGATTTATTGTAGAGATGAGGTCTCGCTGCCCAGGCGGGTCTCGAACCTGCGGCTTCAGGCAATTCACTCACCTCAGCCTCCCAAAGGCACGGGATTACAGGCTGAGCCACCGAACCCGGCTATACATAAGTTTCACAGAATTGATTCTTTATTTGACAAAACAGATAATCCAATTTATTATGCAGGGCCTGATTAGGAGACCGAGGAGAAGTCTGAGGGGTCCAATTAGACTAGTAACAAGAGTTGTTAACCATGGGTTCCAATCAAACACGGCCTGGAACCAGGATTTATTAGCTTCTCTTTCTTTTTGTTGTTTGTTTAAATTTTCTCTTTTGAAGAGTATTTTTAATACTCCTTTGAAGAGTATTTTTAATAACCCCTAATTTGTTGGCATAGAAGCAACAAGCTTCTCCAAGGGCTACACAGAGACCCCTTGGGATAAGAAAAGTAAATCTAGGACCCTACAGTTTTGAAGGACAACTTCAGTCAAGGATTCCACCTGGTTGTGAAGGTGGTTCATGGCAAATTGCAGATTCCCCAGGTCGCCATCAATTTCCTGGGCAAGGTCAGATAAACCCAGTTCTCCACGGACCAGATCAGTAGTGCCAATTGCAGCTGTTCCTGCTATACTTAGCCCAACTAAGACAGGTACTACCAATGGAAAAGCACATTTTGAACAAACAGTTGGAAGACCAGGGGGGTTGAGCAGAAGAGTTTCTTCAGGACCACTATAAGCATAAACTTGAGGCAGTACATGAACAGCAATATACAAGGTAGGCTGATTAATTAACCTTTTGGTAGTAGCACATTTTGTAAGGCCTCTAGAACTAGCTAACCAGGTGTCGGCAGGGGCCACATAGGCCATGGATTCGGCGGTGGTTAGGGTGAGGGATAAGTTACAATTATCAGAGAACGAAGAAGTTGTTAGATTGAAACCTGGAGTGGCAAGGCAGGAGGCTTTACCAGTTACATTACCTAGAGTAATGTGAACCATTTCTAGAGTGCAGTTAGTTCTCCATATGATAGGAGTTTCAACTCCTAGGCCCGCATATTAAGGGGGTTTTGGCTTTAAGCAAAGCCAGCAATCTGAGGCCAACTGAGTAACATGAAGCAGACAGTGCATATTAGTTAACATAGGAAAACGATTAGGGGGTTGGCAGATCCGTTTTGGAAGCGGTCGAGATGAACTCAGGAGCTGTTGAGGTGAACCCGGGGTAATGGCTTGGCTAGAGAAGGCAGAGGCTGAGGCGGAGGTTGGTGGTAACCGAACAAAGGATTTTCAACTCTGCCAACAGTCCTGCTGGTTTGGCCACGGCTTTGTAGGCAAATGTGTTATTAGGGCCCTCACTATAAGTTGCAAAGGTGACACATATCCAGTCTGGGCAAAAGAAGTTGTTTTCCCAATTACAACTGCAGTCAGTGGGATTACTGGGACAGAGATAAAAGTCTATGTCCCTTACATAATTGGGGGTTGCCCATTGTGTACATGATTCAGTGTAGTAAGTGTTTTTTCTATTGTACAGGTTTCCAGATAGACATTTTTTTTCTATTTGTAGCTGGTCAGGTTTACCTTAAATTGGACCAGAGCTGAATCGTGGGTCCGGTTTTGGATAGCTAGAACCTTTCCTGTTGTGAAAGATGCTAGGGAGAAAGAGCACAGGATCTCTTTAGACTCTCCAAGTAAAATAAACTAAGTTAAACTTATTGTGAGCATAGCATTAACAGGGACTTTTGGCCACATTTTCAATCTGCAGGAGCTATAGTAAGCAGTTCTACACCAAAATCCAAAACAAGTGCAATTACAAAAACAAGAGGTAAAGGATGAGTGCAACGCATTTAAAATGAAATTAGCAACCAGTCTGTTTGATTCTCATGGTTTAGATGTACGTCGAAAGGTGACTGAGAGGGTTCTTGGAGTCCTTGGTTGCAGTCCAGTTGGCTGAATGGTGGCTGTTTTCCCTTGTTGAATGAGGGAGTGGATATTTGGGGTCCCTTGCCACTGCAGTGCAGTCAATGACACATACTGGTAGAGTTAGGTCAGTTTCCCTGGCCCTTTTGACTTGGGTGTGATGAATCCAGGCTGTTATCCCATTGACCTCGATTGCTGTTGGAGTGGTGAGGATGACGAGGAATGGTCCCTTCCAGGCAAGAGTTAGTCCTTCTTTCTGGAACTTTTTTTGGGGTTTTTTTGTTTTTTTTGAGTTGGAGTCTCACTCTGTTGCCCAGACTGGAGTGCAGTGGCCACTCCCGGCCACCTGC